GGCATTCTCTGTATTTCTTTATTCCAAATGGGCTCATTCATTCAGTCATTCATTCAAAGACTGATGCGACGGTGGGCCTGGCGCTGCTCTAGGGGCTCTTGGGGGATCATCTTGTCACAAGGCACTCCAGTGTGCCTTAGGATCCAGCCTTCATCTCCACACCCTAGGGCTGACTCACAGAGCAGTGAAGATGAAATGAATGTGGCAACAGCTAGCACATACACCCAAATTGGGCTTCCCCTATTGATACGGAACACAAGAAAATTCAAGCCTTCTGGCCTTTTAAAGAACAGAAGTGGTGGTGTCTTAAAAACTCTTTTGTTCTTTTGTGGGAAACTAAATCAAGACCTGCCAATCTCGTCCTATCACATTTGCGGCCCTGTCATCCATTTATTCACTCAACAGGCAGGTGTTGAGCCCCATAATGTGCTAAGCACATTCTAGACACAGGTATTGCTCTCCAGGCATGTATGGTCTGGTGAGAAAAAGAGGCCTGCAGACAGGCAGCTGGAATTCATGGCGATGCCTGCATGATGGAAGGAAGCTGAGACACCTGAGGGAAGGGCACTGACTTTAACTTTATATGACACTTTGAAAGTCTGGTAAAGACCCTATAAAGACATTTTATATGAGTCACTAAGAGGTGTGTGTGTGTGTGTGTGTGTGTGTGTGTGTGTGTGTACATGACAGAGAACAATACAGTCTTGCTAATGTACAGCTATGACTTGCAAAGACGTAGGAAACACCCACACACTTCTATCTTCCATTTATACAGGGGACTGACCCCTGATTTGAGGTGTCGAAAAGGGACTCGGTTTAAATACCCCTGTGCACCGATGGCCAGAAGATGTCACTGCTAACCCATCAGAGCCCAGTCAATAGGGCTGCGGCCCAAGGAGCTCCCAGAGACGCTCACTAGAGGCCTGACGGCCACAGGTGAAAATCTAACCAAGGAGGATGCTGCAGACATGAGGCTTCATAGGGGCTCAGTAACAAGCCCAAAAGCTACCCAAGGTTTCCTTATACTGCTTATGGGGTCATTATTTGATAAACATAAGGTTGCTCGTGCCTGTGTCACTGCATTTGGAAAATCTTTGACAGATCTGCTACTGCTAATGCTCGTCTATAAGTGACGCGATGAAAGTGCTGCCTTGGAATTAGAGGGGAAGTGGCTTGGGCCAGCCAGAAGCAAAGGCGAGAGGGCCATCTTGAGGCCGTCAGAAACTAGAGGCACGGTGGATTGGGGCCGGCACTCCTACATGCCTGCACTTCTGCCCAGCTGGCCTTTCCCTCCCGTCAGCTGCATGGTGCCCCAGCACATGGATTTTAGCAGAGGTCGCCTTCAAGCCATAGGAAGTGGGGCTCAACAGCTCAGTTTCTAAGAAAGGCAAGGAACGTTTTGCATTAACCGAGATAAGATAAGGGAATTAGGAAGCATCATCTCTTTGTACCAAAGCAGCAGCCTAACAAGGCGCCGAGAAATGCTGCGGAGTTGTCATGCATTGAGACCACTGTCCATCACGAACAGCTGGCCCCCCTCTTCGATACCCACGGCAGAGCCTGCAGGCAGAGCTGGGGGTGTGCACTGCCAATGCCCTTTGTATATAAACTTAAGTCATAGGGTCTGAAGTTCAGGGTGAGAGCACTGCCCGAAAATCTATTTTTATCCTCTCCTGATGGAATCCTCTAATGGGAAGCCCTGACAGATGTAAGTGGCATGTCACTTTTCCCCAGCATATGATTTTTACTCAGATTCCAGTATATCTGTCACCATAGGTGTTGCCGGAATAGGAAAAGTATGCCAAATACATTCTAATGTGATGTGATGCTTAAAGTTACACTATGGCCTTTCCATGGCTAAATTTTTCTGGTGATCATGTTGCAGCAGTCTGTTATAAAGTCAGGGTACACAGTGCTCTGGACTTGAATTAATTTAATTTTAAAGCACTATGCTCATTAAGCAGACTTTAATCTCAAACTGAATGAATTTAGGTGTCACCTAAACGGTTAGCAGAATTAGGTTTCTCCCCTCAAACATTTCATGAAACCTTTAAAATTAGAACTCGTTACTTCAACAACAACCTTGGTGAAATGCAAAAATAAATGCTCATACAGTACCACCACATACACAGCTTTTAATTCTTAGAATAGCCAGTGAGGTATCACAATACCCATTTCACAGAAGAGGAAACTGAGGTCCAGCAAAGCGAAGCAATTCGCCCAAGATGCTGCATGACCGGTGAGGCAGAGTCGGGCTCTGACCCAGGTCACCTGAGCCTCGTCAGAACTCTGTCAACTGAGCCACAGCTGCTGCTACAAGGAAAGGCCTGACTCCATGTTTGCGTTACCATTTTAAAAGACTAGCAGACCACAAAATAAAACTTTGGAAATCAAAACAGTAATTTTTCTAACTTCCTTAAAGTGAAAACAAAGAAAGAAAGCAAAGGCGTTGCCACCACAGGCATTCCATTCTGTTTTCTTTCCCTTGGAATCCAGTGGCCAGGCCGGTGTGCAATGGTCAGAGATAACGCTATTATTCCAAGGAGATAATGTACTCAGTCTGGCTGGGTAACAAGAACTGGTTACCCCCAGTTTAGGACAATCACACTTAGAGCACAAAGAGAGCCCTGGGCAGAGAACATCATCTTCCGGGCCCCAGAACGGGCCACACCACCCCGGAGACCCTGTGATACCTCGGCAGGAGTGATCCATCTTGTTGAACTGAAAGTAGCCCGACTTGCACTGGCACAGCGCGACGCCATCCAGATCAGAGCAGATGGAGGTCTCTCTGTCACATTCTGGAGTCTTCCGCTTACACAAGCTGCCCGCTGGAATGGAAAAACAAGACAGTGAAACCAAACAAAACTTCCTCCCCTTCAAACTTGAAGACGCATGAACTTTTCTATTTCAAGAGGCTCTGGAAGAGTTTTTGAAAAAGTCTGCACAGTGTACACTCCTTTCAGAGGTCCACTCTGCCTTCTGCTGCTCCTCCTGGGTCAGCCCCAGGCCTGTTTACTAAGAATTCACACAGCAGGGCTGGCCGAGTAGCACGATGGTTAAGAGCTGGCTTGGGATGCCAGAGGGCCCCAGTTCGCATCCCACATATGAGGGCCAGTGACACTACCCTCTATAGCTAAGATGCTGAACAACAGCTCAACCTGGAGCTGGGCTGCCCTGAGTCAAGTTGCCGGCTACGGCGTAGGCTGCAGCCCCTGCTGCAGTGGTTGCCATGGGCTACCGTGTGCAGCCGGCAGCCAGCGTGAGCGGCCAGCAGCCGCAGTGAGTGGCCGTCCAGAAGCCGGCGACTGATCTGCCTCGCCCGGGAAGAGCGCAATGATAGTGCCAACTTGGGCCAGTGAAGCAATGTCCTCCACAACTAGACTGAAGAACAAAAGGACAGCAACTTGTCTGTTCCCCTTCCCCCAATTCCCCAGCGCTGTTCCCATCCCCCCAATTCCCCAATAAAAATATCTAAACAAAAAAGAATTCACACAGCATGCCACGGGACAGAGAAACCAAACCCAGAAGCAACAGGGTGCTAGCCATCCCCAACTCCAGCCTCCACTGCAAATTCGGCCCTCAAAGGTGTGGTGTCTCTGTTGCTTCTCATGTAAGGACCAAGGACCATGGTGGGGAGATCAACACAAACCCAGAAACCATGACCATGCTCCTGCTGAGGAGGCAGAGGGACTCAGGCCTGCCTCCGGCTGAAGCTTGCCTCAGCTGTGCGGCCTAAAGAGACGCAGCACACTCCTGGGGAGGGAAGCATGCTACCTAATGCAGATAATTCTGAGGAGAGGTATAGGAGATAATCTGCTTCCCGGGGACTGTAGTTTAATTATGTCACCTGTCTGCCTCCCACTACATTGATGGTGGCTTTGGGTTTATTCATCTCTGGGTCTTCAGCACCTTGCACAGAGACTGGTCCACACACAGTGCTGAATACACACAGGCTGAAGGTGCCATCAGACCACCAGTCACCGGGTCAGCACCAAGAGAGACAGGCAGACAGAGAAGTGCATCTTTCAGGCCTGCTACCTCCTTCACGTTAGTGCCCTGTTTCTTACATGTGTATGCACCTGGCTTTGTCCAGCCCTAGGCATGTGGGCCATGTTCATTTCATGGATGACAAAGAACCATTTCATTATTATCAAAAACCACTCATGTTGGTCAGGTGGCCCTCTCTGAGGTTATATACAGCTGACTCTTTGAGGGTTGCGTTTTACCATCTAAGATAAGCCTGACCAAAGTGACCCATGTAATCAGAATACACAGACAATAGAACAAAGATAGGAAAAAAACAACCGGAGACGGAGCAATAACTTATTTCAACCCGTGTACAGGGCAAGGCAAGCCTGATATGTGCTGCTGTTGTTGGCAGACCAGAACAAGTGCTAAACGGGGAGAGCGCCATGGAAGGGCGATGTAGGTACTGCGCAGTGAGGTGCGGTCTCCCCTCTCCCACTTTAAGGAAAACACCAACCTATGCAGAAGCCAGGTACCAGCGCTTAACACGGCAAAACTATCCCCGTCCAGGCAGGTTCTGGTAACGTGAGCTGGCGCCCACACAGGGGCCCCAGCATCCGCCTCCTTTTCTGAGTCCTGAGAGCTTGGGACCTGGTGGAGGGCCTGGTCACAGGGAGGTAAGTTTAGGACACAACTTTGGTTCTCAACGCCAAGTTTCCTGTCTTTATCAGTGGAAGTCGACATGCTAAGTCAGAACTCTGTTTGTGTGGGTGATAAAATTTCCTTTGTTTATTGTGAAAAGTTTGCATTTAAGGGAGAAAAACTTTTTTAAAAAATGGAAAATGTCACCAGGCAAACACTGTGAAGCTGGCCCTGGAGAGGCTCCACCATCCCTCATCGAGACTTTCTGAAGGCTTTGCCAGTCCTCAAGCCTTAATCTGAAGAAATACCTCCAGGACCAAATCTGCCCAGGCTGGCACTAGCCTTCTCCAGCCCGAGTTGCCTGGCCTGATTATATATTTTCTGGAAGCCAATGTCACGTTTTCCTTTCATCCTGCCCATGAATCCAGCCTGCTGGCAAACATTACTCGCCCCGCGGAAGCAACCCTTCCCTTCACAGAAGCAGGTTCCTGGGAAAGCAAGGAAAGCCGGCCCTGCCTCTGCAATGAAGGAGTTGCTATCCTAAAAATTCTTCAAAAGTATTCTAACGTAAATCCATCAAACAGAGCCACGTACAATCCCATTTTCATTTGAAGCCTGGCGATGTGATTTTTCTACATCCACAATTCCCATGGTCCTTCCTGGGCATAACATCCGCCAGACAATGAGAACTTATGTAAATCTAAGGCTTGGGGGATTTCCAAGGACTCTAAACATCTGGAGACACGAGAGCTCCAGTTCTTTGAGCGTCCGGGAAGTGGATATTTTGTGAATTGACGGGTGAAAACCCGCCTTTGCAATGGCCATGTCCAGAGTAGCCCGGCACGGCCCATATGTGAGAAACACCCAGATGTCAGGGCCTGACAGCTCCTGTTCGTCATGCCCACTTCTCCAGCGCTCAGAAAGGTGAGCGAGAGGCCAAGCTAGGTGTGTTGGCAAAGCCTGGAGAAGACATGGGAGGCGAAACAGAAGTGAGCCTGTTTTCAGCCAAGATACCTGGCTGTCTTTGTTTTCACAGGCTCTGAAAAGAGAGGGAAAGTGTAGGGATTGGCAATGTGGGGACAAAGGAGTAACAGGAAACCTCTGTGCCTTCCTCTCAATTTTGCTGCGAGCCTAACGCTGCTCTAAAATAAATAAATAAATAAATAAGTCTTAAAAAAAAAAGAATGGGATCTCAGCAAGGAAACAAGGATAACAGGAGCTTTCCCATAAGTTCCATCTAAGCAATTGGGGAATGGGTGTCAGAGAGTGGGCAGGGCTGCTCTGAACAGGATCTTAAAAATCCAAAGATCTGGTCACTTGATTTTCAAGGTGTGAAACGCATTTGCTGGGGACAAAAGAGTGACCTCCTACAATGCTGACCACAAAGGATGTGCTCCCTAAGTGTTTAGTGAATTGAAAGGTCCCCTTCCTACTCACCGAGGAGGAGAAGTTTGGACCCTTGAATCACTGGCAAGAGAAACAAGGTAAAACCCAAGAGCTCTCGCCTCCCAGTTTCGAGCGCAGCAGAATGGGGCATGTACTTTTTAGCAAATTTCCCAATGAGGCTGAATGATAGCAACTTCAATTCCAGAAAGTTTAGCTCTTTTATTTATTTTTTGTTTTTTTTTTCAAATGAATAACTAGCCCTGAAATGGGCCAAAGGTGCAGCATTTATCCCAGAGTGAAAGGCTCACACCCAGGCTCTCCACTGCACGGCCCGTGAGGCAAGCCCTTGGGACCGGCACTCATGGAGACCTGACCCCCTGGGAAAGTCTGGGGTCTACCGGCAGATAGAGTACCAAACCTGCTACCTACAACTTAGGTCCAGCATCTGAGGACCAGATGGGAGGGTCACAGGTTCCACATCCTAATTGTGTAGTGACATGAGCTAGGCAGAGCCCACTTTGATCACTTATGAGAAAGCAGCAGGGACAAGTCCCCTTTGCAAGGAAGCACTTTTGATTCCAGCAGTTTTCCCATCCCAGAGGCGAAACCTCCCCTCTAATACCTAAATTTGCCTTCTGAACTTGTCTCTAATCCCTTTCTTCATCTGCCTCACACTAGATGCACTGTAGAAGCTTTTGACAAAACAGATAAAGCAAGAACAAGAACGGGGAAATTATCATGAATGGCACCGTGAGCAGTCTGGCCTACATTGTTCTGGTCTTGTTTCTGTGCATCGATCATGTGCAAGCAAACAAAAAAGACAGGTAATACTACACACGCTTTCTTGACTTAAAGGTTATCACGATGAAGGTTTGGGGTATTGACAAGCATATACATTGTTGTGTGTGAATGGCTGTCTCCCCGGAGAGAGTAGGAACTTCTTAAGGGAAAGAAGAGTGATTTCTGCTTTATTACATCAGCTCCTGTATCACTTCCCTCGCCAACAACGTAGAGAAGAAATAGAAAGAGCAACATGCCAAGAACCAGGTGGCTTTAAGACTCTCTGTGTGTGTGTGTGTGTGTGTGTGTGTGTGTGTGTGTGTAGGCAAGCCAAAGGTGCACACACACAAAGGCTTTTTGCTTAACACCCATTTCAAAGATAGGCTGGCTCTGTGATGAGCTTTCTTGGACCTGTTCCTAAATGCCTTACATCTTGAGTCTAGGTCTGTGCCTACCAGAATGGGCGGGGTCCTCCCACAGGGCCATTCCCTACCTCCAAAGATCCACCTCTGAGATCCCAGGAGCTGGCAGACCTCAGCAGAGGATCTGCAGGAGTTGACACATTTCTGCATCTTGTCGACCAGGTCAAACAGAGTCACATTGGAGGCCAGGGAAAAGGTGGTTTGCAGCGACATGACCACCATGCTGGACTCTCTATAGGAAAAGTACAGGAAAAGTGTGTAGGTTTTTAATTGTTCTAAAATAATACATGGGTCCCAGGGCTTTTGGAAAACGAGTGTCATCTCTACCGTCTGGTGCGGGAAGGGGAAAGCATGAAGGTCCAGCGACTTTGGCCCTGGGTCACCTTGTGGCTTGGTCCTAACAGGGCCCAATTTTGCTGTTGCCACCCATGTAAGAATATCCTCCCCTTTCTATAGACTGATTCACAAGCGAATGTAATTCTGTTACTTACCTAGAAGCATGAACTGCGGATCGGGTATAACCAGGTAACACGGACAAACACACATTTAACTGAAAGAAAGAACAGGTTTGTTGTTAACTGTGAGTTAGACAAAAGCCTTGGAGCTGGAACCAATTTCCTATTTTCAGGATCAAACAGGCATTTTCCAGCCATCAAGTTACCAGCAGGGGGCTTTACAGAGGAGTGGCGTCCTTTTTCTGTTCCCGTCTTTAAATGCCTTTCTGCCCTCATTCTGTTGTTCCGTGAGTACAAAGGGAGAGAGGCAGATAGTAAATCAGTGGGGGAAATCTTGGCAGGAAAAGATGTTCAGAACAGCACCCTTGGATGCAAAACATCTTCAAAGGGGCAGATCTCTTCTAAGACCCAGGGATTCAAAAAACTCAGAGGCAACTGTTTATTTGGACTTCGCATAGTGAACAAGCCTCAAGAAAAGGCTGGTTCCTTCCAGCTACCCCAGGTCTGGCAGGCCCTACTCAGACCCTTCCTAATCTACAATTAGTCAACCTCGCGTAAAGATGGGTCCTCTTCAAAAAGGCTCTCCATGGGAAATTGCATTACGTGGGTCAAGAACCCTTTTGTTCAGAGCAAATTAAAAACGACTTTCCCTATGTTTCCCTGAGAGAGTGCAGGAAATCCCTCTAGGGCATAAAGCACCATGTCTGCTTCCAGGTTCCCCGACATAGGGGCTGGGGTTCCTTCCATGCAGCAGAGGGTCTCAATAGATAGCTTGAGCAATGCAGACACATCTGTCTTCAAAGCCCGTGTGTCAGACACATCTCACTCTTTAGAAGATGGATTCAAACATGGAATGTTATCAAATCCTGTATGGCTTTGAACAACCTGGCTTTACATGCTGATACTCAATGTATTAGTAGTTTAATTACTTAAAACGTTTTTCCCCCCTCAGGTAAAAACAGAAATGGCACACTTCAGAACAGAATGGCATCTTGGGAAATGGCACTTGAGTGGCTTCTCCAGTCACTGCTTAAATCTTCACTATTTCCTGTCAGGTGGCGATGTCACATCAATAATAAATTACACATTGATACTTGGTAAAAATTAACAAGTCAGATAAGTCCCTGAGCACAGTGTAATGACCAAGACTGCACTGTTGCATCGGGTTCTAAGCCTCTAAACTATCTTAGAAGGGAATATCGACCTACACAGCACAACCAAGAGGCAGCTGTGGTGGAGTGACAAGGATACCAGGTATAGGGTTAGTAGACATAAAAGTAGATGTAAAACCGCTATAAAGAATTTTACCTCGCCCCAAGAGAGGTCTGGCCCCTGGCTCCTGCAAGACAATCTCTAAGCCTTTGGAATATCCTGCTTTTGTTTACCTGGAGGCCTGGGCCACTCCAGATAATCTAACAACGTGATTTATGGGGAGGGCTTTGAGTTAGAGAGTATCTGCTGGACCTCCAGAGGGGCTGGAGACTGAGGTCAGCCATATGGGCAGCTGCCTATTCGCTCTAGACACCAAGGCTCAGGTGAGCATCCCTGGTGGGCAATACTCCATGAATACTATACACATTGCTGCTGAGAGGGGCTAACACTGTGCATGAGTCCATGAGGAGGGGACAACTGCAAGCACCACATCTGAGCCCCTCCGGACTCTGCCCCATGCATCTCTTCCCTTTGCTGATTGTAACCTGGATCTTTTCACTGTAATAAACCATAACCATGAGTATGAATAGCTTTTGGTGAGATCTGTGAGTCCTAGTGAGTTATCAAATCTGAGGGTGGTCTTGGGGACCCCCAAACTTGCAACTGGTGCCAGGAGTGAGGGTGGACTAGTGGACTGTTCCCTAACTTTGCACCTGCTCTGTCTGAGCTCAGGCAATGTCCTTAACCTCCAGAGCCTCCCTGTTGTCCATCTGTAAAGGTGCTACCAATGCCTGTTATAGGAGGGAGGCTTCTGGCAAAGTACCTGTCACAGAGCAGAGGCTCAGTGGATACAGAAACAGAACTGGAACCTAAACGTTACACAAATAAAATCCACAGTCCTATAAAATCCTATAGCTTTTGGCTAATATACCAACTCTTACCCATAAAGAATAATTAAAACTGAAATCAGAATTCAACTAATCTCTAAAACTTATTTTAATGACAAATTTCAACTTTCTAAACACCAAATCTTAGACTCAGGTAGCAATGGAGATGCAAAATTTACTATCTAAACTCCATTTTCATCTCTTCTTTCTTCCTCTCCATTGTTCTTTCTTTCTTTTTTTCCCCCCTGACAAACAGTAAAGCAAAGAGGGAAAGAAGAAGAATCAAAGGCCCCTACATAAACTATGCAATGAATTCTCAACCCTGGGTAATCAGGATTAACTGCTACACCTTTGGCATTCCTGTGAGGAAAAGAGCATCGTTCTCTCCATGTTCTGAAATACAGAGAAAGAGTCACACAGCATGTCAACAGCCAATGGGACATGGCTAGGTCTTTCCTCCTCACCAGCAGCTCTTACTGGTACATGTCATCTAAATGTCTGTGACGATAAGTCTGCACATGGAAAAGAAACGCCAAGGCACTGATAAAGGCGCACATGAGGACACATTCAAAGAAACACTTCTACTGGGCACTACGCGTTCCCAACACCTCCCTTCTATTTTCAGAGGGCCTCTTATTTTACCATCAAGTTTACCTTCCATCTATAACAGAAACGAACATCCCAGGAGTTATAGCTGGTCCCCAGGGAGAATCCCAATTCTGAATAAAATCTGTTCTAGAAAACAAAGGACTAGAAGAAATATGCCTTTCAGGAAACTTACCGTTTTGGTGATTTCATTTTCAAAATCATGTAGGTCTGAATGTTTTTCCACGGTGGCATTAAGAAATGTTTTCTTTAATTTCAACTCTGTCACAAAGGTTCTAACTGAAAATGAAAAATAACCCGTTAGGCCACACCACAGGTTGACCTATGCAAGGCTCTGTGTTTGTAAATTTCTGGGGCATCCAGCTTCACTTCACCTCAAAGGACCACGTCCATGTATTTCTTTCTCCTCGAGGGTAGAGACCACCTCTCCTTCTCTGGACTCCTCTCTAGGAAAGTGAGCATCTCCTGAGCTGAGCTGAAGAGTCAGACTGAGTAAACCTTTGGGTGAGAGACTCTAAGGAGACCTCTGTGTATGTGTGAGCGCTGCTGAGAGGAGCCTGCTGTACATCTCCCTAATGGCCTCCCACATAATAGGTGCTCAATAAAGCTGTGACAAAGTAGAAAGATGAGCTGGCCTAAATAACATACTCCTAGCAGGTGGGGAGGGAGACGTGCCGCTAGACACAAAAAGTGCTCCTCAGGCCCTATAAAATTTTTAGATGGAGGACAAAAAGCTCTGGCACTCTAGGTCTTTCACCAAGTTGATAAGTCCTTGGCTTTAAAAGCATGCTTTGGTTTCCTCTTCTTGCTAGTCACCCCCACCCACCCCCATTCCTCTTGCTCAGAGGAAATGCCCATTTTATCACTGATAAAAGAGTCTTCCAGGAGTCAGTAACTTCCCAAGGTCACCCAGCTCCCAAGGGCCAAAATTAACATTTAATGTCATGTGTGCCCATCTTCCAAGTTCTTCTCTACCCTCAGTTCCCTGAGGATTCTGATAGTCTAAGGACAACCAAGGAGCTACAGAGAAAGGTGCCAAACATCTGGAGTGGGACCCCACTCCAGGGGACTGCCAGACTCCGTGATGATAAGCCACATCGACCCATACTGGATTCAGACATGAAAGAACGCAGCCCCACTTTCAAGGCCCATTTCACTCATAAAATAAAATTCTAGTTAACATCAATTGGTGCTGATTGGGCCTGAGGGGACTGGAACTTACAAATGGGCAGGCAATCAAAAATTAGTATAGCCTGCTTTATATCTGGCTCTTATCTTCTTTTATATTAAATTCTAATCTTTCCCTCTGGACAGGAAAAAAAAAACCTCAACAAAACCCAAAACACAGAAACCCCTGAAGCTGCTCTTTCACAGAAAGCTTGCTTGCTGAATTAAGAAAAAGGCCCACAAATGAGCCAGGGAAAAGATTTAACATCTTATACTTTCTGTCTAAAGCCTTTAATCCTTATTTAACATCTTTTTGCTTGTTCTACAGCTCAGTGAAGCCAGCTGCTTAGGACTCTTTCTGAGCAGCAGGGAGCTCTTTGAAAACATTCTTGGCCAAATGAAAGCATTTCAGCATGCTCTAATTTGCATGTTGCTCTGATGTGTATGAACAATGACGCTAAATGACTTGAAAAGGGAAAGATGATTGTTAACACAATAGGCCCGCTGTCTTCTCCTGATCGTGTTGCCTGTGGGACACTCCACACACACAAGCTTCTAGAAGCCTCATCCCACGCCTTGTCTTCACATCTCACAGGTCCAGGTTTATACCCAGACTCTCTGTATAGAAATATATATACTGTACATGCTAAGGACACATCTCTTCTGAATCATGACAGTCAATGTGGCCTCTGCTTTCAGTGTGAACACGAAGATGGCATCACACAGTGTCCTCTCCCCAGGGACATGTATGTCTGCAGTTACATCATCAGGCTTTAAGGCAAATTTTTACTTCAAACTTAACTGTTGATTTACATAGGTTATTGAAATGATTTTTTGAAAGAGTCATAATTATTACTTTGCATTCAGATTAGTTTATTGTTTTCATTGCTTTTAGTTCCGGTCCAAGAGGTTGGAAACTAATGGTAAAATGACATCTCTCATCTGGAGAACGCTACCATTTTCAAAGCTTGCTCAAATACATTATTTTATTTGATCGTCACAATAAGTGGGAAGCAGAGCAGGTGGTAATCTGATTTTACAGATGAGGAAACTGAGGCTCAGGGGTCATATGCTGTGGGTGGTGGCCCTGGACAGATGAAAGCCAAGCATTTGAGTTCCTGGGCAAGTGTATTTTTCACGCTGCTTCAGAACAAAATCATTTCCATCTTCTCCATTTTCTTTTTTTTTAAATTTTATTGGGGAACAGCCATGGTCATTGGTTACACATTGCTTTCATGCTACAATGGTACAGTTGACTCTTAAGGAGGGTGCAGCTCTCAGTGGCCCATGCAGGGATTGAACCGGCAACCTTGGTGTTATCAGCACCACGCTCTAACCAATGGAGCTAACCGGTCACCACCCATCTTCTCCATTTTTAAACTTAAAACTCCTGGCTTATTTTTCATAGGGTGTAGCTAAATGGAATAGGTTATCCCAAAGAAAACTATTAGAATAAGAAGAATTCTTAACTGACTAATGTCTACATTCCTAGCTTTTTCTTTCATCAAATGATACTTTGACTTGATCCTTGTATTTTAAACAATTTTCAAAATTCTGCCATTATTTTAGTAGGGAAACAACTGTTGAAATAAATTTCTAGGCCCAAGATGGGGCTGTTCCTGCTAGGGGTGCCAGGTCGGCAAACGGAACATTCATGTTCCTGTAAATGCTCCATTTTTTTAATGGTTTTTTGTTTGTTTGTTTTTAAAGATTTTATTGGGGAATTGGGGGAGTGGAACAGCATTGGGGAATCAGGGAAGGGGAACAGACAAGTTGCTGTCCTTTTGTTCTTCAGTCTAGTTGTGGAGGATGTTGCTTCACTGGCCCATGTTGGTATTATCATTGCACTCTTCCCGGGTGAGGCAGATTGGTCGCTGGGCTCTATACTTATTTCCTTGTTCCCTGATCTTTCTCAATAAGGTCAGCTATGCAACCCCAGCCAATCATGCCTTCTAACCCTCTACAGAACTCTCTCTTGCCCACAATTCCTCAGGAAGAGTGCTCCACTGCTTGGGAGGCACTGTCTTTCTCCTGTCCATGAATTGCTTTCCCTTGAATAAAGGACGTCAAACTCATCACTAAATTGTTTTAGTTTTGTCATTTGATACAACCTTCTAAAAAGTCCGATGATTCTCCTCAGCCTATGGGCACCAGGAATTCATGCAAGTAACACTTTCAAAAGACAAAGACATTGGTCCTCTCAAAAAAATATTTACTAAGTACTTTTTGTGTGTTAAGTATCATGTTGAATGACTGAAGATGATACAAAGATGAGTCACATTCCTGCCAGTTTCCTTATCCAGTCTAGATAATAACTCTGTGTTCTTCACTTCTGATTTCTTCAACAAGTTATATATTGAACTCAACACTCTAACACAGGGTTATACCCTGTGTGCAAGAAAGCTCTTATGATTAACAGACTATTGTGTGGCGGGAGGAGCTGGGGGTTGGAAACTTGGCCTTCATCAAGCAGTTGTATAAGCTTAGCCACTTAGCACCTTGTCAGGGCCTTAGTTTTCATGTGGGTTGTTTGCTTCTTAATCTGTAAAACAGTGATTATATCTAAAACCAACCAGCTTTATGAATCTATCAAATTGGGGAACAAAATATGACAAATTGTACAGTACGATTATGGCAACACTTTATAAAAATATATCTGCCTGTGGACAAGAACATGAAGATTGTTTTTAAAAATGAAAAGAATGTGTGAGTTTGGTAGGATAATCAGGGTTTTATTCTCTTTCTTCTCTCCCTAAAATGTTATTTCTTTACTATGTGGTTAGAATACCCTTTGATATATATTTTTTTTCCTAACTGCAGGGTGGGATGGTTAAGGAAACATGTTATGCACCAATGATGACATATTTATGCAGTCATTAAGAAGTTTGTATAATATTTTTAATAACATGGGAAAATGTTTAAGATGTAAAATTTGTACAAATACTACATGATTTCAACTATATAAAAATATAATGCACATTTTAAAAGTTTCAAATAAGGTGCTATATCTCTGAGTGGTGGAATAATAGGCAGCATCTTACACTTCTTTCTATATTCCTTAAGTTTATACCTTAGACAAACATCAGTTGCGATTAGGGAGAACAACAACGTATGTTACTTTGCAAAATATACTGTGAGGCAGAAAAAAATCCAAGGTAGACTGACTCTTACCCAAATTGCATATTCCTTTCTCCAGCTGGTATCCAACTGGGCATCTGCAGGTAAAGGATCCCTGAGTATTGTTGCACATGGCCAGGGGTGGGCAGGGGTTCGAGAGGCATTCATTCACATCTGCAGAGGACAGAAAACAAGGACGTATTGAATCTTATCAGACAACAAGATCATAATCCGGTACAGGAAGCGCTTACGAAAGGCCAAATGGCACTGGGTGTGGCGGGGCCCTGGAGATGAGTAGAACACTAACCTTGTTTTCGAGGGGCTACCAGCCTATTAAGGGTAGAGGCAGCCATGTATACAGCTAACTATAAACATAAGGCAGGAACTGGAAGGACAGATCAAGCAGCAGATTTTGAAGGAGGAATGATTAAGGGCTGTTTTAAATAACATCTGGACCAAGACTGGAAGACTTTCATAAGCAGGCATGGGTTGGGGGTGGGATTCTAGGCGGAGGCACCAGCACAGTGAAGGCCAGCGGCAGGAACGCTTAGGGGTTTTTAGGGGGCCGTGGATGGTCCAGTGTGGCAGGGGCATCGGGAGCTTCGGAATAAAGTCAGACTGTGCAGGCTGGTCAGTGCTATTGCCTGACATTATTCTGCACACAACACATAAGCATGTTAACTCTCAAGCACGGTATTAAATAAAAAAATCTTACTCCCCTACATTTTGGAGGAAAAAGGAGTTTACTGCCTATCTCCACGTGCTGCTGTACTGTAGACCCCTGAAGACGAGGCTTCCTCTTACCCACACTGCAGTCATCCCCTTGCCAGGAAGGTGGGCACACGCATTGAAACCCACGGCCGCTGCGATCCACAATGCACGTCCCATCATGAAGACAAGGGTTAGGGGCACAGCTGTTCCCTGAAAACACATTCCAGGAGTAAAGCAGTTAACCACACAGGAAATGTAAAGGCAGCTCTAGGTAAATATTTAATTCTCCTGGCTAATATTTGATTCCTGCTTAATTCTGTTTACTTGCCCTGAAGGGCCCATTTCAAACACATGTGAGAGGGGACTGCATCCACTGATAGACCTTGAACAATTCGATGTTGTCCTTTTGGTTTAACTAGGATGAGGAAGAAACAACATCCCTGTGCTTACTGCCTTTGTGGTGGCCCAGACTGATACATCTGCAGCCTAGAAATGCTAAGTGCTTTCCTATTGGAAAAAGGTGTAAATAAAATCTTGTTTTTATAGAAAAAAAAATTAAAACACATCTTTAGAGGGAAAAGAACCCTCCTCCTGCTGCAAGATTTCCCTTTATCAGAAATTCTCAAAATGGAACACTATGTAGACCTCCACACAATCATTTAGAAAAACTGCAAGGCCTTCTCTTTACGTGATGTAACAACGAGCCCTATATGATTCATCTAGGTCTAATCATGCCCAGGCTTCAATGTCATCTTGGACTCCCCGTTCCCAAGGGCAGTGACCACAACTCTCTGTTTCGGTCTGCATAACCAGAACTGTCATGCTCCAGTTATGTAACAACTGCCTAATAAAGGTTTCTGACACATACTTAGAAAAACCGAAACCCACAAAAGAACTGCATCGTCGCCAAGGAAAAAATCGGTGGTAGAATGAGAAAACGAAGGTGAAAGTCAAGAGTTGTAACTCTCAAAAGAATAACCCTGAAAACAAGTGGGTAAACCTAAACATGGCGCTCCTATTCCTCACTGCTACTTTAACTACCCAAAATTACCTCTCTAAGCACAGCACCTATATATCCAAACAGTGCATCCATGGACCCTGTCACAAAAAATATATTAACAGCCAGTAATGATGTTCCTAATGCTCGCCTATAGTTACCAGTGCAATGGCCATAATCAGCTTTAAGGGAGATTGTGAAGTGTATTCCATATGGTATTGAAATATATTTGGCTGCTGGAAATGAAGTCCTATGAACCTCGGAGCAGGGGTCCCACATGTCTGGGGAGAAGGATCCACCTTTCATTTCCCAGAGGTGCTGGGATCCGTGGTACAAAGGGGGTGCTGATGCATCATTGCACTGTGGGGCTGGGTGGGGAGGTGGGAGGGTCAGAAGGGTATGACCCTCCAGCCCCCAGGATGCTGATGGCTGACGAGGTGGAAGTCTGCCACTAACAGAGCTCCTTGCTCCAGTTACCACAAAGCATTTCTCGTCTTTTCTTTTTCCTTAAGATGTCAGTCTCCATTTCACCCCGTCACCAACAGCTGTTTCCCTTTCCTGGGTCTGGACAAGCCACATGCACCGTTTTGAACATGACATCAAAAGATAGATCATCTTACTTCTGCCTTTCCTTACATGATAAAAAATCATGTGGCTGGTTTATGTCCCTTGTACCAGGAACATCAACGTGGCTATAAAGATAACCTTGGGCCGGCCGAGTGGTGCATTGGTTAGGAGCTGGCTTGGGACGCCAGCTCTGAGCAGCAGGGCCCCGGTTCGGATCCCACATGCGGGCCAGTGATGCTGCGCCCTTTACAGCTAAGATGGTGAACAACAGCTCGACCTGGAGCTGGGCTGCCATGGGTCGCTGGCTACAGCGTAGGCTGCAATGGGGCTGGCCGGCAGCAGGCGTGAACTTTCGTGAGCTGCCGTGGGCAGCCATGAGCAACTGTCCAATGGCCGGCGAGCGACTGTCTCACCCGGGAAGAGCGCAATGATAATACCAACATGGGCCAGTGAAGCGACAGCCTCCACAACTAGACTGAAGAACAAAAGGACAGCAGCTTGTCTGTTCCCCTTCCTCGATTCCTCAATGCTGTTCCCTCCCCCAATTCCCCAATAAAATCTTTAAAAAAAAAAAAAAAAAGATAACCTCAAGTGCACGGCAAAGTTGCCCTTGCCGCGCAGTCACTATGGGAAAAGATTAGTTCATCATCTTCTTACTGAAAATGCCCCCCACCCACATTTATCAATTAGCAACACAATCTGAGGGAGACAAGGAGCCTGGGCTTCCCCTGGGTCAAGGGAAGCCTCTCTGGCGACTGTAGAGCCGCCTAACTTGATTCAGAAGCTCGGGACGCTGATCTGGGGGCTGGCGCCTTCTCACTCCGGGCCTGATAGGCCACCTAAAGCTTCTTTACTCCAGTTTCTCTACCCTCCAGTCCTGCTTCACTGCCCACTCTGGCCTTGGAAGAGTTAAAGGCCTGCTTGAAAAGCTCTTGCAATTACAGGGTATTACAAGCTACAATCGCACTATCTGCTGACATCACACACGCCCAATGGCTTTCTCTTCTCCTTCTTCAGCAAGAATTATGTTAACTCAAGGGTGAGAAAATTGGGTCCACTGTGACATTATTTTATGCTTCAAGTGCTTCACCAGGAAGCATCTGAGATCACAGAACAAACACTGCGCTATTGTAAATACCGGCCATCACCACACATTCACAGGAATTCCCGGCCCATGCAGTCCTCTGCATGCTCGTGTGACTGTGTTCTACCTGAGTCTGGAGAAGACAGTGCCGTCGGTGACTGTGTGCTGCTCTGAGCAAGGAAGGTGGTAGATTTGGGAGTCAGCACTTCAGCTGTAGAAACATCTGTGATATGGGGAAAAGGAGACGTTCTGGGGAACTGCGAAGCCGGACTGTACTCTTCTGAAACGCCACTCCCTGTGGTCAATGTTTTTGCTGATGTCGGTACAGTGATCAGGGGGATCAACTGGGTAGTAGCCTCTATATGCACTTGGTTCTTTTTGGTTGTGACAGTACCTACTGTTGAGATCTGTGGCACTAGAATTTCAGGACTGCTTGGCGAGAGCTGATTTCCTGCTGTAGTCTGCACTGTTGTGGGCCCAGCCATTAGAGTTGCAGTGCTAGGCTGGGGGCTGGGAGTGGGCACAGGGGGATGAGAGGCCTTGAGAGTGGTGACTGTCAAAGCTGGAGGCGTTTGGGCCAAGCTGGTGCTTGTGCCTGGAAGGGTTTGCTCAGTGGAGAATTCCGTTAAAGTCGGGGGCAAAGGGATCCCCGAAGTAGAGCTCATTGTTTCCGCTTCGGTGGCCTCTGTGGGCAGAGACTCCAGGCGCAGTGGCTTTGATTCCGTGACCATTTTCCTGTGGCGTGGGTTGCTCTGGCTCTTAGGATCTGCTGTTTGACTACTGGAGGGCATTGCCACAGATGACGTCATTGTCGACGTCTGAGCTGCACTCACAGAAGTGTCCCTTGCTCTGGGCGGGACCAAGGTAGAAGGTGAAGGTGGTAGGGTTGTCTGGGACACGGACAGAGAGCCAGGGATAGAGACTGTCAGAGATATTAGCAAAGGTGGTGGGGAGGAAGACAAAGGTGTGGGCGCATCAGGGGTGGGTGCATGAGCAGAGCTCCTGGTTGATGGTAAGGCTGAGAACAACTGGTGGGATTGCGACACGGAGGGCACAGGCAAAGGGGGCCCTGACGAAGAAGAATCACCAGCCAATCCAGTATCGGTGTCCAGAAGACCCGAGGTGTTTGGCATATTAATGGTGGGTGTGAAGGATGGAAGGTTGGCTGTACGCAGACCCGGTGACTCAGTGGGAGGCCGAGCATATTCCCCTCCGTAGGATGAGACATTACTTCTTTCAGTCTGAACCTGAGAAGAGGAAGAATAGTCTGAACGTGAAGAGTTTGAGATCTTAAGAGAAGAGGTCGAACTCTCCCTCATGTCCGAGGACGAACTGTTGTCTGTGATGGATAGCAACATTCGTTCTCCCTTGGTGAAGGCAGATGAGACATAGGCGTGGTCCGTGTGGTCGCTGGAAGTCCTCTGTTCAATATCAGTGCCGCTCACTTGATCGTAGCTAATCCCAGTGACTGCAAAGGGAAAAACGAAAGTTAGGTCAACTAAACAGATAAGCAATCTCCTGAGCATGCCCTGTAAAACAGGCTCTCAGTGTCCCATCCATGAACACCTGTGGCGAAACGCTTCCTCGGGAGAGGTGGTTTTCAATGGCCAGCACTCTGGAAAGACAATATGGGAGGCAGGAAGGTCAGAGTCTGCTGAGCAGATTTACCCTCGTGTGAGGAATGTGGTGGCAGCAATGGACACGGTAATAAAAGAGAAGTGGGGCCCGGGGCCCAAGAATAGGGAACAGGTCCAAATTCCTTCCACATGCCTTGTTTGATAAAAGCAAATTGATAATGCAAAGCTCTTAAGACCCCAAATAGAACAATTGTTATGCCTAACTGGAAAAAGGAAAACCCTCCCAACATTCCATTCTGTATAATGAGATATTTCTTTCCCAGGAGACTGGCCTTAGCCACAAAGTGGCTGTTCTCTTTTATTTAAGCATCCTGGCAGACAACCTAGCAAATGCCGTAGGCAAGTGGTGGGTAGGAGGAGAGGTAAGAAAACCCAGAAAGTTCTCTTCAGAAAGAATTTGTAAGGGACTTCCTGGGTGGACAGCGAACTTAATCATTCTAGGACCATGGGCAGATTGACAGAGGCGCTGACGGAATGTGAAAAGAGATTCTGCTCATCACCTCCGAGAGCATGTGAGGATGCCAGTGAACCCGAGACCAGGTGGGCGCCACCAGTCGCGGTCACGTTCCTGTGCAGAGTGGCACTCTCTGTTTCTCCAGGCACCTCTGCGGAGCGCCCCACATCCCCAGATGTCGTGCTCCCGTTGGGAAGAGATCGCAATGTACGCTCTCCGTTTCCAGTGAAAGTAGCTGAAGTGTGCGGGCTGTGAGCACGAGCTCCGGATGTCCCCTCGGAGCCTTCCTGCGAGTCGGCACTGACTCCCAGCTCAGGACTATCTTCAGTGGCTACAAGAAGGTTGAAAAGGGGATGGTTGGTCAATGCAGGGGGAGAACAATCTATTGTACTTGAGTCTCAGGAATAGCCTCACTTCCTGGACTATGTTAGCCAAAACAATTCTCTATGTTTTCTGACAATGCGTAAAACCAAAATGTGTGGTCTTCTCTGCAGATGCTTATCAGTGACTGAAACCTCAAGCGGCGCTGCGGATCAGCCTATCTGCTCAGGTGACCTGGATTTATGGGAAAGTTTATTACTTCAGTGAACAGGATCAATACTGTATTTCTGCTTGGTGATACATAATAAATAGAGTTTATGTCAGGGAAATTGGTGGTGGCTGCAGGGGAGGTGAACAGTGGGCAAAAGACTCACAACGCTACTGAAGCGTTAGACCTTCCGGCAAGGCCCAGGAGAAAGGCCCACATTACTCTGAAGGCTTCCACGTCCTTGCTGGGACCAGTGATACATGAACTGACGCAGGGCCTGTCCTTCTACAGTGTTCATTCTTTGTCCTAACACATCAGTGACAAATGGCATTGTGATAAGAGGTTAAAAGTGGGGCTTGGTTTTTGTTTTGTTTTACTTTTTTTTAATGTATTTGTTTTATTTCCTTGGTGGGGATGGCAGAGGGGCAAGTGACACATGAATAAATATCCTTTCCTCCTTTCTTGGCTATGGCAATGAGGTCCAATTCTTCTTGGCCTGAATACGTCATAATCTGGCTCTATGAGAAAACAGGCTCTTTTCCTGGTTCTTATTCCTATTCCCGGACCAGACTAGCTCTTGATACCCCAAGGACACACCTTGATGGAAAACAGATGTAAAGCTGAGGGTTAGGTTAGTTCACTTCATGATAGGTTTGTATTCACTGACAGACAGGAGTGAGTGTGGGGGCAGGGGAGCACAGTGACTTGGAGCAGCACTGAGAAAGCCAGGAGCCAGGATGAGATGTGACTTGACCCAGGCTGAAGGGATTACGAGACCCGTGGAAAGTCCATCAGGAGAGGCTTGAGAGCTGAGCATATCTGAGCGCAAGTTCCCTGGGTAAAGAGGGCACGGCCTGGGATGGGGAGACCGTAAAGGCTCTGTTAGATGAAATGTAGGCAAACAACCCAGTCAGGCTTACAGACTTAACACACTGGAGTGTCGCGACCTAAAACAGAGGCGCTCGCACATCTGAACCTAGAAAAAGGAACAGCTCAAGAACTCTGAGAGGCTGGACAGCAGAATCAGTCAGCTTTGGGTGATCAGGAGGAAATGAGATAAAGAATCACATTAACCCACAGTTGAGGGGGTTTCAGGAATGAAGCTATTCCTTATCTAGCACTTTATAACGGAACCCCACGATCTGTTCACATAAGACCACATTTTCTACATGATCCAACAGACCATTAACTGCAGAGTGAAAGGCACTGAGAGATGGAAAGGCTACAGAACCTAAGCTCCTGGTTTTTGAAAAGGTAAAAATTCTGAGCCCCACAATTGTGAGGGTGGAAAATGATTCTTTTTGTTTAAGAGACAGATGATGTGTTTTCCATGCACAGACATAAAAGAGCATGAAGATCCTCTACCCATACATGTGGTATTCTTTCATGATAAGCATATGTTTGTCACATCACATCAGTACTAATAAATGCTAATTTTCCTCATCATTTAGGATGCTCGTATGGGGGAAATGGAGCTTCTATTATTAGTGGTAAAGAGGTAAGAATTTAAAGCTATTATAAGTTTAACTGATAAGTTAATGCATTTTTGCTTTAGTCAGTATATGTTTTACATTGATAAGGCTGCTGAGAATGGTTTTTTAAGATTACCCAAAGACATTTTTAAAAAGGAACATCAAAAGCTTTCTCAAATTGATAAATTGCACTTCATCAAAATTAAACTTTTGTGCTGTAAATAATACCACCAAGAAAGTGAAAAGACAACCCACAGAATGGAAAAAAAAATGCCTGTAAATCATATACCTCATAAAGGAATACTATCCAGAATATACAAAGAAATCTTATAAAGAAAAAAAAAAAAGACAATTTAAAAATAGTCATAAGGTCTGAATGGACATTTCCGAAGAAGTTATACAAATGAACAATGAGCACATGAATAGATGCTCAACTGGGAAATGCAAATCAAAATCACAACGAGATAGTACTTCACACCCACTAGGATGGCTATAATAAAAAAAGGTGGACAATAACAAGTGTTAGTAAAAATGCTGAGAAATTGGAACACTTGTACGTTGCTGGTGGGAAAATAAAATGGTGCAGCCACTCTAGAAAACAGTTTGACAGTTCCTCAAAAGGTTAAAAATAAAGTTACTATTAAACCCAGAAATCCAAGAGAATTGAAAACATACTTCCACATAAAAACGTACACTGCAATGTTCACAACAGTATTATTCATAATAGCCAGAAAGTGGGAAAAAAACCTACACATCCATCACTTGATAAAGGGATAAACAAAATGTGGTCTATCCATACAATGGAATAGTATTCAGCCATGAAAAGTAATGAAGTAGTTACACGCTATACAACATGGCGAACCTTGAAAACATTATGCTAAGTGAAAAACACCAAAGGCCACATATCATATGATTCCTTTTACATGAAATCCCTAGGTTTGCCATAGAAATTTGTCCCTATGGAAAATCCTTAGAGACAAAAACTAAATTAGCGGTTGCCAGAGCCTGGGAGGAGGAGAGAATGGGGAGTGACTGTGATGAGTACCAGGTTTCTTTTTAAGATGATGAAAATGTTCTTGAATTAGATAGTAGTGATGGTTACACAACTTTGTGAATATACTAAAAAGCACTGAATTGTACACTCTTAAGTGGGAAAATTGTATAGAATGTGAATTATATACAATAAAGTCATTTTAAAAAGAGAGGGAGTTTCTCTTGATGAATGCCTAAACCTGGGATGAACAACCACTCATGAGAAGGTGGTATTTTCACCTTCCAGAAGCTGTGTGATAGTGGCGAGTATGGGGGTGTGGGGTGGGCTACAGGGAGTGGCCAGAGAAGTCCCTGAGTTGTGTGCGGGAGAGGCAGGTGGCAACAGCAGTACTTTGGAGACATAAAGAAGAAACTGGAGGACATAGGGGTATATCTGTAGCAACCAGCTAGAAGAATGACCTGGGAATAATGAAACCAGATGACACTACGGGGCTATTTCCTTAACGCAAGGCCTTACTGTGCCACAGAAGATCGTAAGCCTTTAAGCCCCTGTCCCCGCTGTGTGGTCTAGTTCCAGGAGGTGAAAACCTACTCGAGCGTTCACCACGTGGTGCTGAGGACTCCAGGCTTTCTGAGGAGGATGAGGACAAGTCATCAGAGTAACTCCTTTCACCCAGGGCTGTATCACTTCCTCTAGACTGCGGGGCAGAGGCTGAGAACTGGGTCAAAACTGAAGAGTTCACAACTTCAGGATAGGAAGTAGAGCTTCCTGTCACATCTGCGAATCTCTTGCTGTTGGTCCACAACCAGTGTGCAGTGCTCTCTCTGCCTCCGACAGACAGGACCGACCCAGACACGGTCTCAGTCTGAGACGTGGCGCTTCCATTCGCTGCATCAGAGCTACTGGCCAGCTGGTGTCCTTCTGAGACTGCAAGGTGTCAGGAAAAAAAGGCCATTACACGGATGTGAAAGAGACCCCTCCACAACCGAGATGTGAGTCCTTTCTAAGGAAAAATCCCCTTTGCAAGGACCTTGTGTAACATTTATTATATGTGTAACCTGACATGCATTTTTATATTCTAAATAATTATTTCAAAACTCTTCAGTGTCAGTAAGATAGCAATACTAAAAATAAATGTAAGTGAAGAGGGGAGCTTTTAAACAGCACATGAATACAGTGCCTAGTCAGAAGCATTTTTCTAAAACAGTTCTATTATTAATAAAGATTATTCTAATTTTGAAGCAAACAAAAAATAAACTATAGGGAGTACATTAAAACCATGAATTTGGGGACTATATTTATATCTCCATATGTTACTTCTAAAGATGATCTGCACATAAAATAACTCAAGTTAGTTTCAAAGAGCAGGCCAGCTCTCATTTTGAAGACGATGTGGCAGAGTAACAAGCAATCAACAGTGAGGGCTCTGAGGCTGAGGTTTCAACTCTACTTAAATCCTCTGAGCCCTGGTTTCCTCATCTATAAAAAAGCAGGAGTCGGTGGTGACCGGTTAGCTCAGTTGGTTAAAGCATGGTGCTGATAACACTAAGGTGGCCAGTTTGATCCCTGCATAAGCCACTGTGAGCTGTGCCCTCCTTAAGAGTCAACTACACCGTTGTAGCACAAAAGCAATGTTTAACCAATGAACATGGATGTTCCCCAATAAAATTAAAAAGACAAAAAAAAGCAGGAGGAATGATGCTTTTTGGAGGAACTTCACAATGTTCTCCTAAGGGTGAAAATCAAAATGGGATAATGTGGTATACTAGATAAAGGAGATGGAGTTATCTAAGGAAACACTATTTTTTAGAGGCTGCAAATGGTCTTGAAGTGATCCCTTAAGAAAATCCAATAATTTTTAAATGTCCATAATAGATTAAGTAAAATTGATACTTACTTGGGGAATCATTCTGCCAAAATCCCACTGAGCCCTCGGAAGATGTAAGGCCAAATCCATTTTCTGTGGACAGCTCACTGAATTCCCTATCCCCTGGATTCCTGATTACTTCACTGTTTCTTCTCAATTCTGCCTCAGAGGGTGAAGAATGGACTGGTGCTGAAGTCATGGCAATTTCAGAATCCTCAGGGTAAGTCTCTGTCTCATTTTGGGGTCCCAGGCTGACAGTTAAAGACTGGATTGCCCTTGGGACACCACTGGGGAACGTGGTGGCAACATGCACACTCTTTGTCCGACTGACGGAGGGGCTCTGGAGAGCGGTGGAGTTGTTTAGCTCTTCCACGTGCCCAGAAGCTAAAATGGAAAAAAAAACAAAATATGCTTTAAGAGTACTCAGGGGTGGGAATGGGGGGTTAAGAAAATCAGGGATGAAACTAGATACAAATAATTTTTATTACATTTTGGTAGATAAATATAGATCCTTGACCAAACACAATGAAAAGCCTTAGCTTGAGCTAAAAGGAAGATAGGAGAAAGCCTTTAGACATTTGCCTCGGTTTTTATAGAGGAAGGTAAAACTTCTACTCCTGAATTCCACCTTATAGTTTATACAGGACAGGTGAATGAGGACACACCATAATGTTTTTGACAGAAATTGCCATAAACCAGAAGCAATGTGTGACACAGAGCAGTGTCATGATGGAGGATGATTTACGGCACACTTTAAAACACACCTTCTCCCCACCATAGCTCACACCCAACTGACTGCATTGAACAAACTGAAACTTGTCATACACTGTTAACTAAGGTTCGACGCGTCACTTCCGTATTGAAGATCCCTGCCTTTCTGTTGGATGGCACTCAGCAGCAGCATTCACCATATTTTGTGATCACAANCTAAGGTAGGTGAAGCCTGTGGGGTCAAATATAAAGTTGGCTCATGCAACTTGCTAATAAGACAGTGTGTGGGTTTGGTCTCCAGTGCCATTTCTGAAACATAAGCAGGTGAGTGGACTTTGGCTGCCCAGCTGAAGGACTGATGAGTTTACTTGTGTTTGGGCCACTCGGTCTCAGATACCTAACCACTCTCAGCACCAGTTGTGGCCTTAGCTGGTGGCCTGATCAAGGAGAGGTGCCAGTGAGCATCTCTCTAGAGCAGCTAGAGACAAGACACACTCCTGGTTAGTGCTGCCACTGTCAGCTCCTGCTGACCACAGAGACCTGCTGGCTTGTGGTGCCACCTCTATCCCCTTCCTCCTAGTCAGGGGTGCCATAGCTGCCTAAATTGGTGAGAAACTCTTACCTTTAGTGTCCCTCTTTAGCTAAGGATCTTTCACTTTCTTCCCCTAGGAACACAGGAGGCAACATAAAAAGTTGCTTGCTTTACCCACACCCTTATGAATCCGTGTTCTCTGTGCAAAGATCTTCTCATCTAGAAGAAAAAGAGCCTGCTTCCAGCTTCATGCCTGGATCTAGAAATTCAGTTCTTAATACTAGAGACGGTGAGTAACACAGGCTGGTAAAAGCCAGGCTGTCTGGCTGAGGCTTCTGGCTCTACCTCTTATACGCCCTATGACCTCAGACACCTCAGACGAGATACGAATCTGCAAAATGAGGGAGTAACAGTACCTCCCTCCCTGGGCGGTCGCCGAGTACACACATGTGAGAGCTCCAGACAGCACCTGGTGCCATACACATGATAGCTATTAAGTGGATTTAGNCAATGTGTCTTTTACTGTAATAATTTTTTTTATTTAAACATTCACCGTAGTTTTTTATCACGTGTCATAGTGAAAGGTTTCGAGCTGTTAATTATGACCCAGAAACGGAAGAAGGAAGTTCTCACTATAAATGGTTCCTTGAAAACCAGTCCTATATGCAGTTGTGACCAAAAGCACAAATAAATATTAAATATAATTAGAGACAAAGAGAGAAAGAGAGAGACAGAGATCACAGGAAACACAGTTTCCTCTTACTGTCATGCAAACTACAGAACCAGCTACACCTAGCACACAGCCCACAGCTCTGGGCACTGGACCTTAATGAAGACAAAATGAAGATGCAGGCAATCCATACAAGTAGTAATTAAAACAAGGGAAAAGAAAGACCAGGACCCAAAAATAGAGTCCCAGCTTACCTAAACCCGCCCTTACTTAAAAACAAAAACACATTAGTACATTTAAAAAAAAAAAAAGGCATACTAAAGATACATCCCAAATTCTCACTCAACCATGTAGCTTCTCAGGCCTAACTTCATTATACTTATGATAAAAATCCACCAAATTACAGACTGGGTGCTCTTTCAAAGGCACTTTTATTCCCAGTAAACTGCATTATTTCATTGATTCAATGTACAGTGGCGGTTATACTGGACTCAGCCTGAATACCTGTCCAACAAATCAATGGCCGCAGAAATACAATTACAAAAGTCACAAATGCTGACAGTCACAAAAGGAACATGGCTGTGTTTTCCCCAACCCCGAAAGGGTCTGTGGAACATTTGCTTCAGTGTCTTGTCGTCATTATTAAAAGCTTCCATTTACCGACCAATTATGATGTGCCAGTGCTTCATACACACATTTATACATTGTGTGTAAGTAACTTTGTATACCTAATCTCATTTAATCCTCGAAGCAGAGCTCGGAAGTAGTGTGAAGACTTCTGTAGAGCTGGTGCCTCTTACTAAAAGGAGGAAACGTTTGGTGAAACTCATCTACAGTCACCACTCATACCACTAAATGAGCGTCTGCTAATGACATCTAGCGGAGCTTGACCATGTTTCTAATCAACAGGCCAGCACTATTGATCTTTTCATTGTTACCCTTCCTTGCTCATTTCTACCCTTAAAGCAGACGCTCAAAAATGGGAAGACTATCCATTTGTGAGCAGAAACCATCCAAGTTCCCTAATCTTTATTACGGGAGGTAGAAAGGCGGACTACTCATCTGAAAGTATATAGGTCACTCCCAATCACGACTTAAACACTGAAGCCTCAGGCATGCCTCAGAAAGCTCACCCTTAGCTTGGCTGCGACCCAGAACATGCCAAAAATCTAGCTGAGGCAGCTGATATTTGAGAAAGATATGCTAAATCCACACTCTTCTGAGTTATTTATGTTCTTCCTTTTACAAAGTGAAATCACCACAAAGCAATTTACCTGGGCCACATGAGCTCAGCTACCCACAGAAGTACTTTCATAAGGTGAGATCCATTATTACACGCTCAGCTCCTATTGACAGTCTATATAAAATATCACCTTTTAAAGAACATTAGCACAATTTCCACAAAACAGCAGTTGAAGGCATTTTCTATTATGATTCTCAACATTCCTTATGGAAATATTCTTCTTCAAATTGACTGCCCCCAAAACACTGATGCCCATGGATGAAACTGAACGCTTACCTTATCTGACAAATAGCTCAAGCCCCACAGAGTTTCCCTTTGTGCCTGGTTTCCAGGAAGCTCGGTACTAAATTTAGTGCTCAACGGTAGCCACTTGCACACAATTCAACATACACATACCTCTTTCCACCTTCAAATAAGAACTTTTTCCCCTGTTAGTTGCCTTACTAACTTTTTCTCCTAATGATCAAACAGTACATGGTCATTATAGAAAATATACAAAGTACAGAAAGATATAAAGCAGCAAAAGATGTAAAGCAGCAAGAAAAACCCTTTCAAATGGCTTCTGATCTCTTTTTTAACACTCTGATTTAGCTGTTTGGGCCTGTACCTGCTTTCATGCATGTATTTCTTGGCACGCGATTTATTTTTGGAGGCAGGTAACTCCTGGCCCCCCAAGCCTCAGAAGAGGTTATGTTGTGTGCACATTTCCGTATAGCAGAGCAAAAGGGAAAGGAAGCACACAATACAGGGGCTGGTGTGTTTGGAATAACAGATGCTGGAACCAGAAAGGCTCTTTAGGATCACCTGATCTAATCCCTTCGTGTTTCAAATAAGCAGCCCCATCCGCCCCAGGTCAGGCTCCTGGCTGCCACCCCAGCACTCACCTAGGGAGAAGCATCACTCCTCTGACTGGTCTAAGCGCCAGGGCTTTCCCTGGGTCATATCTACTACTGGATGGACGGACTGGCCAAGTGTCAAAAGACACACACCCCTGCCGCACTCTCTCTCCACTTCCGTTCTGCAGAGCGGCCAGCGGGGCTGGGGGACGCGGGTCTGCCTCTGGCAAGTCCTGCTGGCCCGCTCAGCATGCCTGCCTGCGTACCTAGAGCTCCTGGATCCCGTGGTCCGAAAGAGATAGGAAAATCTTAAGATTTAGATTTCAGGGAAGGAAGGAGGTATGCCAGCGCTCTGGTTAGCAGGTTAGCAGCTAACGAGCTCAGCCTTAAAAAGAAGGCAGAGGGCCGGCCGAGGGGCG